CTTCCACAATCCCTCCTCATTTTCTGCAAGACGTCCCCACCATTTACCCATCAACGCCAAGTTAAACTTCCTTAACTCCCTCACACCCAACACGCCTTCCTCCTTTTTTCTACACACCTTATCCCAGCTGACCCAATTTATTTTTCTCTCCTCTCCCCCACCCCCCCATAAAAAACTTCTACGAATTTTATCAATAGAGTAGAGTATACCTTTTGGGATTAAATAGACCGACATGAGGAACACGGGCAGGCTGGACAACACCGAATTAATGAGCGTGATACGGCCTCCCAATGATAAGTACCGACCCTTCCAAGTAGTTAGCTTTTTTTTGAATGATTCTACCATTGGCTGCCACATTGCCACTCTTTTGTGATTTCCTCCGATTGGGATTCCCAAATATTTGAATGGAAGCTCCCTTTCCTTACAACACAACCTGTAAGCCATCTTATTTCTCCAGTTGTCTTCAACCCCTACCCCCATTAATTGGCTCTTCCCAAAATTAATTTTAAGACCAGACACTAGCTCAAAAGTTATCATTATGCTTTTAATAACCCCAATATTGTCTTCCGATGCCTCTCTGAAAAAAATTGTATCATCCGCAAATTGTAGGTGTGACACCGAGACACCTTCATTCCCCACTGCCACTCCTTTATTTAGCTGTTTCTCCACTGCAGAGGATACTAGCCCATTTAATCCTTCAGCTACTATTAAAAATAGGAAGGGTGATAGCGGGTCACCTTGTCTAATCCCTTTGCTAACCGGGAATTGATTTGTTGGGCTTCCATTAATGAGAACTGAAACCGAGCTCGATGTTAGACATTCCCGTATCCAAGTTCTCCAGGTTGTATTGAATCCCATTCTCCTCATCATATAATCAATGAAATCCCAACAGACATTGTCATAAGCTTTCTCAAAATCAACTTTGAACAAAAAGCTTTTCTTCTTCTTTCTCTTGGCCTCATCAATGACCTCGTTTGCTATCACAACTCCATCAACTAGCTGTCTACCCCCGATGAATGCCATTTGCTGTTCCCCGATGATCTTTGGAAGCACTTTCTGAAGGCGATTTGATAGCAATTTTGCTATAATCTTGTACATGACCCCAATAAGCGAAATAGGTATGAATTCTTCTATTCTTTGAGGGTTCTCAACTTTTGGAATCAAGACAATGAAGGATGCATTCGATCCTCTTACCAGTCTTCCAAGCCTGTGAAACTCTTGAACAAAATCGATGATCTCTGATTTGATGTCTTCCCACATCTCCTTAATAAATCTAAAGTTAAACCCATCTGGGCCTGGGGATTTTGAAGAACTGCATTCCCATATAGCTTGTTTGATTTCCAATTCAGAAAATAAGGCTGTGAGGAGTTCATTATCTTCCCCTGAAATCTGGTTAAAACTAATCCCATCCAGCCTCGGTCTTTGCCAAATTTCTTCTGTAAACAGTTCTTCAAAGTATTCAGCAACTGCTTTTTTTATTCCCAGTACCCCAGTGTGCTGTTTACCCTTTATCAGGATGTAGTTGATTTCATTCCTTCTGCTTCTTCCCTTCACACACCTATGGAAGAACTTTGTGTTCACATCCCCTTCTTTCAGCCACGCCATTCTTGAATTTTGCTGCCACATTCTCTCTTTGATTCTCAAATGCTTCCATAGCTCTAAAAAGCAATTTCTTCTTTTTTCAATGTCAATATCAGACAATGTGTTCTTCTCTCCTTGTTCGTCTATTACCACTATCATCTTTTCAGATTCACTGATTTTTCTATCCACATCTGCCATTGATTTGCTGCTCCAATCCTTCAGTGCTTTCTTGGTCATTTTCAGTTTCTCCTTAAGCTTGTATCCTTTCCCTCCATTTATTTCACCTAAATTCCACGCTATTCTAATAGTCTCCTTACAACCCGATTGCTCCAGCCAAGCATCAAAAAATTTAAATGGTTTTGGGCCCCAGTCAATCTTTTCTTCTTTCAGTAAAATAGGGCAGTGGTCCGACACCGATCTACGCAAACCCCATTGTTTCACATCTCCCCAGATTGAAAACTAGCCTTCCAAAATCAAGACTTTATCGATTCTACTCATGTATTGGCCATTAGAGTTATACCACGTATACTTTCTACCCACTAGTGGTAAATCAATCAACCCAGCATTATGAATAAAGTCATCAAATTCTTTCATCTCTACAGACATCCCCTTATATCCTGCTCTTTCTTCTATACTTCTCACGGCATTAAAATCTCCTGTGAGGCACCAATTCCCCTTTCTATTCAAAATTAAACACTACAGTTCCTCCCACAAGGCTCTCTTACCCATCAAATGGCAAGGGGAGTAAATATTAAGAATGTGCACAAGTATTTCGTCCTCCCCCCATACCCCAGTCACCCCAATAAAATTATCTCCCTCAATCACCTCTATCAATTTTAATACCTTAGGATTCCAAACACACAGAAAACCACCAGACATGCCCACCGATGGTTTTGAAATCCACTCCATGTCATCTGTACCCCAAACCCCTCTGCAAATACTATTATCTACTACTTGCAGCTTCGTTTCTTATATAGCTAAAAACTCCACTTTTTCTTTCTTAATTAACTCCCTAATTTGCCTTTTTTTCCCAATCCCTCCAAGGCCTCTAGTATTATAGGACAATAATATCATCAGGTTCACAACATACCTTCCTCACACCCCCAGAACCGTGACTTGCCATCTTTGCTTTGTCTCGGCTGTCTCTACTCTCCAACTCTTCAATTCTTTGAATGATCTCCCTATCATCCTCAGCCACTGCCCCCAGCTTTTTCGCAAGGTCCCAAATCTCCAGTGCTAAGTGATTCTGCACTTGCTTCTTCAAACATCTATTGCAATTCTGGATTTCGCTATCACCTACTGAGTCACCCGCAATGTTCCCCTTTGAGCAAGGTAGGAAACTTGGCTCGGTTCTCCCCTCTGCATCTTGCATGCGCTGTTTTCTTTTTCCTTTCTTTGATTTTGAACCCACACCCACTGCTCTTGATTTTGCATACACGGATCTACACATCTTGATTCTCCTCTTCTTCTTCGTTGAGCCCTCTTCTCTTTGCTTCTTGATCCATTCTTCTATGCCTCTTTGTTCTGCTTCGAATCCTTTCCAGAACGGGTCCCCTTCTGCAATGTCCATGTTGGTCTTTGCTACTTCCTTGTTTCTAGAAGAGTCATCTATAATTGACCGGCTTTTATTTTCCTTCCCTTTTTGTGTTTGAGTCCAGCCCATATTTGTTGACTCTTCAAATTCGAAGCTTTCAGATTGTGAATTGAGCTTCCCCTCTTTTTTCGTCCAATATTGCTCACTAAGGCCCAACTGAATTTTGCCTTCCTTCAGCCTGGATTTTTCGCTAAGGCCCAACTATATGCTGCCTTCTTTTAACCCGGACTGCTCCTTGAGGCCCAGATGTTCCCCCTCCTCATCGCCCATTCTTCCTGACTGAGTAACGTCCCCCTGCAACAGCAGCACCTCCTCTGCCCCTACTCTATTCTCTATCTCGTTCAAATTTTGAATGAGTTCCAGGCTGTCCTCCCCTGTGACACACTATTTCTCCTTCCCCGATGTGGTATGTTCCCGAGGTTTCTCCATTCCCCTTCTCAGCCAACCCGCCACGTCATCATCTTCTTCCTGAAGACAGCTTCCATTTGCCTGGGCATACTTCTCTGCAAATGCAAAATCTTGTTTCTCCCTCTCACTTTCGGTTGACCATCCTTCATTCTCTTCGGAATCACTTTGCAATGTTGGGAAGAAGTCATGTTTTAGGGAAAAGAAACTGTTGGTAAATTCCTCTTCTGTGAATTTCAGATTGCATACTTTCCCGTTGATTAGAATTTGGCGAACAACCGATATTGTATTTCTAATCGGAGTAGAGATCAAGAATCTTGCAATGTCGAATCTCACTTTTTTGCTTGCGTTATCATCTAAACAGATGAATTTTCCCCAAGAACAGGCCATGTTTGCAAAGAAATCCAGCCCCCATACATTTAATGGTGCCCCTTGACATCTAACCCACACGAATCTCTCATTAGCTACTGATTCCGGTGTCCAAGGACGCACAACTTCAAACCATTGGCTTAGCCAATCTGAGGCCATTTCCACAAGATCCTTCAGTTCATTTTTCTCCTCACAATCTAACAAGACCATCTTCCCACCCATAGCTTGAATCCGACAGGAAAAATAACCCTCCATGTAAAATTTCTCCTGAAGATTTCGAACCATCTCAACGGAATGAACCATTCCTACATAGCACCCTTTAAGCCATTCATAATCTTCTGGTTTTGCATTATACTCAATTCCTTCCCACCTTTTTCCTATTCCTTTTTCCTTCCAAACTCTCCTATAACTGAAGCTTCCATGTACGGTTTTGGTTTTGTTGCTGCTGCTTGTTGGCCTTCTTTCTAATTCTTGATTGGGCAGAGAATCTCCCCCCTTTTTCGGTCCTCTTTCCTGTAATCCCCGCACCACTTCTGCATAACTTTTGTCTTGAATTTTTGGGACCACAGCTTGATAATTCCTCCGCTCCCCTTCTTCTTTCTTCCCATCATCATATCTTGGTGTGTTCACCCATAATTTTTGGCATCCAACCTAGATCTGATCAAGTTGCATTTCCAGCTCCCTTTTGTTTTTGACATCTAGGAACCTCACA